TATTATGAATAAATGAAGATTAATGCTCCCCATCTGATCTCTGTGCTGCTTAAATCTTGTTTAGTTAATGAAATGCACCTCAGTCATAAAGAGAGCGCTAGATGGTAAGCAAGTCGTTGATTTGTGGCAAAGTGGACATTAGTTGTCCTGACTGTCCACAGCATATTTTAATCAGTATGCACTAGAGCCCACACATGAGAGGCTGGAAGGATAGAAAGAGATGACAAAATGACAATAGTACAAGAAAATCAATATCAATATATATATATATATATATACACTGAACAAAATTATAAACGCAACACTTTTGTTTTTGCCCCCATTTTTCATGAGCTGAACTCAAAGATCTAAGATTTTTTTGGATGTGGAGGTCCTGGGCTGGTGTGGTTACATGTGGTCTGCCGGTTGGATGTACTGCCAAATTCTCTGAAACTCCTTTGGAGACGGCTTATGGTAGAGAAGTGAACATTTAATTCACGGGCAACAGCTCTGGTGGACATTCCTGCAGTCAGTATGCCAATTGCACGCTCCCTCAAAATTTGCGACATCTGTGGCATTGTGCTGTGATAAAACTGCAGATTTTAGAATGGCCTTTTATTGTGGCCAGCCTAAAGCACACCTGTGCAATAATCATGCTGTCTAATCAGCATCTTGATATGCCACACCTGTGAGGTGGATGGATTATCTCGGCAAAGGAGAAGTGCTCACTAACACAGATTTAGACAGATTTGTGAACAATATTTGAGAGAAATAGGCCTTTTGTGTACATAGAAAAAGTCTTAGATCTTTGAGTTCAGCTCATGAAAAATGGGGGCAAAAACAAAAGTGTTGCGTTTATAATTTTGTTCAGTGTATATACAGTATATATATAGAAAAACCTGTCTGGATTACGTTTTCTCCTAGTCTCACCTGCATCGTACAAATTTACGGCATTTGATGAATGTTGTTAGCATAATCAGCTTAATATGCATCAAGGATGTTGCAGAATCTAGGACGTGTTTATTTGAAAGTATGTTTACCAGCTCAGGTTCAAATTGGGCGAGATATTTAACAACTGCATCCATGAGCTGATTAAGACTTGTGAAGTGATGTGAACTACATTAGGAATCGAAATTTGAGCATTGTTATCCACTGACCTTTTCTGTTTGCTGTGTTCATTTATTGTGATTTATAGTCATCGACCACCATGCACCAAGTGTTGTCCTGTTTTTTTAGCAAAGCACTACTTTGAGCAAATATTTTCTTTTTTTGCAAAATATGTTTTGCATCAGAAGACCATTTGATTTTCATCCATTGATGAGGCTTGATATGACTTGTATCTGTGCTCTCCAGAGCACTCTTCCATTCATTTCTCTATCCATACAAATGAAGCGCAATCAAGCCACTTTTCCTTCCTTTCAGCTAGTGTCACTGATTTCTTGCTCAGCCTTGCTCACTGAAGCAGCCCAGTTGTGGCCTGTCGGACTCTCTGCTCCTTATTTGATGACTCATGCCCAGCCGACAGCAACACGCTGCACTTTGCTTTTTAATCAGCCGGTTGCCGTTATGCTTGTGTTGTAAATGCAGCACAAAGAAAGAGAAGCAGAGTGTGATTATTAATTTCGATTAGAATTTAGTGTGCATTAAAATACTTATTTGTGTGAGGCAACTGCATGTCAGATTCTTTATGTAGGCTATACATCCAAAAAGCTGAGGACTATTTCTGTTTTATACATCAGAAACTCAAAAAGGTCACCTTCACATTATAAACACTATATAAGCGTTATAATCACGATCAGATGCCGTCTGAGAATCCTGAGTTTCCAGCCTGGTCTCATTGTTTATATGTAGGTACTTGTACAAAACATTTACAGGTACAAAAATATAATTTTTTTGTATGTTTGGGTATGCTGATGTGTATGGAAGCCTGTTTCCGCCAATGAATCAAAAAATTTAAAAAGGTCATTTCGACTTTTTATCTCACAATTGCCTGATAAAAACTCGCAATGAGAAATGAAGTCAGAATTGTGTGATATAAACTCTCTATTGCAAGTTATTAAGTCAGAATTGTGAGATATAAACTCGGAATTCTGAGAACATATCAGTCTTTTTTTCTCCTCAGAACTGGACTTTATAACTCGCAAAGCGAGTTTATATATCACAATTTTGAGAAAAAAAGTCAGAATTACTAGATAAAAAGTCACAATTTCCTTTTTTTATTTTGTATTCAGTGGCGGAAACGGGCTTCCATAGATGTGTGCAATGTGGACACACTGGCAACAACAAAAATGAAAATATATATAATATATAGAAATATTCACAAATCCTTTATATGATGAATTTATTTATAGTTTAGATTCCTTAACTCTAATCCTAAAACTAAACATGACCACTTTTCAAAAAAATAAAAAATGAAACTGGCAGAAAAATGAACAGTAACAATTTGTTACTATATTTTTGAGTCACTAATTTTTCTGCTACCTCTAAACCTCTTGCTACTAAGGATGGAGATGATGATGATTGAATAACGACATGAATTCAGGTCGACAATCAAACAGATTCTGAAGATTTGGATTACAGTTCAAAAATAAAATAGATCATATAGATAGATAAGTCATTTTATGGTGCATTTGTGGTATTTTATGCTTTTTTTGAGTCACGGCATATTCAGAAGTGTGTTAAATGTAATGGTTAAATGATAAGTAATGAAAAATGTCATTCATTTTTAAGTTTCAAGTTATTCTTGTTCAAAATAAATGTAATTTTTTTTAAACGAGCTAGCACTAGAAGTCACAGAACAGAATAAAATGTTTAACTGTATTAAATCAATCTGATTGATCATAAATACATAAATAAATCCAATTGATCATAAATAGAATCAACCAATTAATTCCATTACTTAAATATTCATAGATTATTCATAGAGAGGGTTCGTAAACATGTATGTCTGTAAAGTTGTTCATATGCATTTTAGATTATGTCAGTACGTGAATAATGTATGTTTTAGTGTCTAGGCAAACATAAGTAAAAGTACATGTGGTATAACTGCATATTATACATACACGAATACTCTTGAGATCACATTGAATTATTAAATTCGATTAGAATTTAGTGTACATTAAAATACTTATTTTATGTGAAGGAGCATGTCAGATTCTTTATGTAGGCTACACATCCAAAAAGATTTCTGAATTATTTTCCTGATATTTTATACATCAGACGTTCAAGGTATAGTGACTAAAAGGTCAGTTTAACATAATTGCAAAAGCATTTTAATCACAATCAACCTGGAGCCTTACAGGCAAATATAAGCTTATAATAACATCAATAGCTTTTTCATCTCGATATAGCAACTCTGGAACCCTGTATAGTGAAAATGTTTCGCATGACTGCTCACAAGCTCGCTGTTATCTCTGGATTATTATAAATGAAACTGCATTCATGTGCACAATAAATATTTCTGTAATTGGTTATATGTTGTCTAAAGTGGCTTTTTAATGGCCAATCTCTAAGAACAGGGAGACCAATACAAAGCCGATTTAATTTAAGAATAATAAAAAAACACATGCAAACAAACTTTATTTTAAAAACAAATTTTGTACTCAAATACCTTATCATTATGAAAATAAAAGAATATATATTAAAAATGAGTTTTAAAAGATGAATACATTTCACAGCAGCCGTATTCTTAATTCTTTATTGGATTAACTGTGCAGCTCTAGTATGTTTGTGCACTCTCGCTAATTCCAAACAGGTCATTTGCATCGCCTTGTTCATTCCTGAAGGTCATCTGCGGTAAGACATGAAAGACAGAGAGGGAGAAGTTGAATGCAAGACGCTGGACGGTGTATGCGTGTGTTTGTTTTGTGCATTTCAAGGCCGATTTAGGAGGAGTTTAGAGAGAAAATATTCATGAATCATGAACGTTTGATGTCGGTGAGTATTGTTTAGCTCTTAATACCAGAAGAGGTGCTCTAGACTGCCACTACTTCCTGTTTGTTGTGATTAGAGTTCAGAAGCCTCATGGTCTTTCGCCTCATCTCAGCCAATGTTTTTCCTCCGGCGGGGGAATGAGCATTTGATGTGATGTGAAGTGTGCATTTTAAGCATCTTTCTGTCATTGGATTTGGGCGTCCTTTCATTGATTGCAACAGGAGATTTGTATTTTTTGTCATCAAAAAGGATCAACAAATACGGTCCACATGGTCAAACTTGTATATTTTACATTCAAATCTCTCTTTTTCTCAACAGATACATGAAATATTCAAATAATAACCACTTGTCCTCAAAATGCAATTGCTTTAGAGAAGAACTGAATAGATATTTGAATAGCTGCTGTTTGAATTGTATCTTCGGTTGTAATTACAGATTAAATGGTCTTGATTTTAAACACTGTTCATTTTGTAATTGCACACTAATCCTGTTACAGTTATTTTAAGCACTTTAAAGAGTACTTGTTTAACACTACTTAGAATTATTCAGATGCTTAACACAGCACCACAACAATTTCAGCAAATTATGTCATTTGGTAGAATTTAACGCAATGACCAATATGCAATGAGACAGTCTGAAATAAAAAGGGTCTGGATATTACATATTTATTCTGCACTATTTCTCGGTCGTTAATCAAATAGGCCAGTTTAAACTTCTTTGGATAAAAGCTGTTATTTCCTTCTTTCCATTGAAAGTCACAAGATGCTATTGAAACGTTCTTGAATTATTTTGCACAAAGTTGTATTCACATTTTGGATTCAGTTAGAATATTACAAAATACAAGTGATCTCAGAAATGCCTTTTGGACCCCATTTAGAAAAAAAAAATACTGGCTAAAATAAATAAAGCAATAAATGAAACTGCATCTACACGGCTCAGAATGTACCTCAAGAGAGGACAGCTGTGGAGTAAGCAAAATAATAAAGGGTTATCGTCTGGCTTTTTTTCTGTTTTGATTTGCTTAAAATTCCCACGTCAAATCTAATACTAAAGATCCAGCATGCTAAAGGTTTTGTTCTCCATTGCAGGTCACTTTTCACCTTGGAAGACCTCTAAACAGGTAAAACGTATCGTATTCCAGCCCTCTGAATTTAATTAATAAACTAACATCAACTGTGTACTCTCAATATTGAGTGATTAGGTCTTATTATACATTATACAGCAAGCATATGTATTAATAACCATGACTGTTGAGCTTTATTACTAAGATCAACGCATAATAAATGGCTTTATTGTATTGTTATAACATATTACCACTAACTGCATTGTACTAAGCTACTGCTTGTGTCTCTTAATGGACAGATACAATAAGAATGACTAATTTGCTTTACAGATACACCACTACAACACCAAACGGCAGCTATATGTATAATATTTGAAAATAAATCAACCAATATTAATAGAGCAAATAATATTTTCTAGTTAAAAGCATAATTTGTTCTATTGAAATCTTTTTTAATAGAAATTGCCTTTTTTTGTGAGTGCAAAATTGTTTTAAAAATCCAGTAATCACAACTGGAAAGATTATGGAAATTCATTTGTTAAAAGCTACGGGGACCTAGTTGAAATAAACACTTAGTACAGCTGAGAACAAATCTCTGCACCTTCACTAATCTTTCCTCACTAACCAGTGCACTGTGTAATGTGGCACTTAAACCTTCACCCTCAGCTGTCTGTCTCTGTAATGTCCTTTGATTCTGATCCAATATTGTCAGCTGTCTTGTCTGCTTGACTAAATTTTCAAGAAAGTGTTCTTCAAACTCTGAACTGTCCCATGTGTATGTATATTTACACACAGGATGGTATATGTAAATGTATATGATAAGGTATATGACGGCATATATATATTTGCAAATAAATCAAATGATTTTAATAGAGCAAATAATATTTTTTATGTTAAATATATACATTTTTGTAAAATCTAGTTATGCTCAGGTTTGCTAGAAATGTAAAACTGTAACTCTGGCAGTGAAAACCCAGCTAAAGACTTTTTTTTGTGATTTACTGTTTTCTGCATAAAATCATTCTTCATAAGGTAAAGAACATTCTGTGAAAATGTAACCTTGATATCTTTGATACTGACTGAGTAAGGCCATGTCAAATATTGGAATCATAGTAAAATGAATAGTTAAAGGGGTCATATGATGCTTTTTTAAAGATCATTATTTTGTGTATTTGGTGTAACAGAATATGTTGACATGCTTTAATGTTCAAAAAACACATTATTTTTCAAATACTGTACATTATTGTAGGTCCTCTATGCCCCGCCTCTCTCAAATGCTTCGTTTTCTACAAAGTCCCTCCTTCCGACAAGTGCAGTCTGCTCTGATTGGCCAGCTGACCCAGTGCATTGTGATTGGCCGAACACCGCAAGCACGCGTCGGAAATATAACGCCGCTTACCATAATCGCGAGCTTCATCTTTCAAAATAAATGTAAAGACAGAGCCCGAAAGGGGAACAGAGTCGCGTGACAGACACAGTGATGAAGCTGGTATGTGTTTCTGATGTGACCCCCTCTCGCTCTCTCTCGCTCTCTCTCGCTCTCTCACGCTCTCACGCTCTCTCTCTCTCGCTCTCTCACGCTCGCTCTCTCTCTCTCGCTCTCTCACGCTCGCTCTCTCTCTTTCTCTCACGCTCGCTCTCTCTCTCTCTCTCTCTCACGCACACACACACACACACACACAATGCGCAAAACACTGCATTTGAACAGTCAATAGCAAATACTTAAACTAATAACAAAACAGTAGCTGATTCAGAAGCGCCAGATTGTCATAGCAAAGTCAGAATTACCTCCTCTCCTAGGTTCACGAAACGGTCGTCCATAAAATGCATTGCTGTTCTGTTGTAAGTAATCTTAAAGATTCCTAAATGCATCTACTTTCGGAAGGCCAAATAAAGTGCTTTTGCTTTCGCCTAGAAACACACAGCATCTCCCTGACATGCTGCTTCAACACTAACTGCGGTTACCGAAACCACGCCTTCTTTCTTTGCGTGAACATTTGGGCCACATTATGCAAATATTTCCACATAGTGACATAGATATGTGGGGGCGTGTTAGAATGAGCCGTTTTAGGGGGCGTGGCAGAGTCTTAACTTTGATAAAGAATATCTCTTTGGTTTTGAGACTTTAGTCTTTGCAACTTCAGGGATCTTATCTATGCACAATCAGCTTGTAACACTCCAAAGAGAAAGGAAAACTTGAAATGGCATCATATGACCCCTTTAAAATTAAACTTTGATGCTTGTTATCTCATAATTCGATTTTGAGACTTTAGCCTGGATTTCACAGACAAGGTCACATTTATATAAAATTGTTTTACAAATCCAGTAATCATAACTGAAAAGGTTATGGTAATTAATTCATTGTTTAAAGATTCAAGAATGCTTGCTAAAACAAGCAAGCAAACAAACAAACACTTAAAATGTGATAAGTTTTCATCTGAGAACCAAACAAACAAATAAATAAAATCTACCCATTTTAATAAAGCAAGTAATGTTTTATTCTAAAATTCTAGTTATGCTCAGGTCAGCTTTTTGTGAGTGCAATATACATATTGAAAAATGTTTTACAAATCCAGTAATCACAACTGGAAAAGTTATAAAACTTAATTGTTGGTAGTTGATCATTTTGCAGCAGAGAATATTTAATATAATATAGAATATATATAAAATATATTGTACTGATATGTGTGTGTAAATATATATATATATATATATATATATATATAAAATAAAAGTTTTTGTGTACATAATATGTGTTTTTCCTACCTTGAAGATCCACAGGAGATTGTCTTTGAAATTATGTTGGTTCCTGTGAGTCTGAAAGTCTGAATCGAATGTCTCATATTGAACCCTGTTAAGAAATGAAATACTGAATTTCCAGGCAAAATATTAGAGATATCTCCATGCAACAGTGCATCAGTACATGCCTACCCATCCACCCACGCATTTATATATTTTTGGTTTGAGATCTCTGTCCTGTCTCCTTATATATATAACAAAGGCTTGACTGATCATAAATCGACTGATTTTTCTTCACTCTACAGAGAGTCAGTCGCACTGCCTTGAGCTGCTGGCCACTGTACTGTCATTCTTCAACACATATCTTTGTATCTATCTCTATAGGGAACAGAACTGGGACAGAGCGAAAGTCTCGTTACCCCAGTACAGTAGAGCAGCTTGGATTTTATCATCTCTCTCCCTCTCTTCCGCTGGGGTTTAATTAGACATCATTTGCTTTAAGAATATCTCCACAGCTAGAAAGAGTTTCATGACTGGAAAATGTTAAAGTGGTCCATCTTTTTCTGCAATTATCCATGTCCAAAGAATATTAGCCTTTACTGAATGTGAATGTCACGGTTATGTGGTCAGAGCACTGAATCATTCAATCGATAGAAATTATACGTTACCACATGCTAACTGTCCAGCTTCTGCAGAAACATGGCCAAATTGACAGTGAATTAAAATGGTCACAATATTAGTTACTTGTTTGTTTAATTTTGAAAATGTATTTCAACTTAATCTCTAGACTCAAAGAATCTAGTTTAAGCTAGATTTCTGCATGGTGATTACATTGAAATTTGAAACCAAAATCAACATATGATGATCAAAGTGTGAACAACATGCAAAAGCGGATTATTTTGTGCATACAACTCAAATCCATTTAGTTTTTTCTAAAAAAACAAAAACAACAACTGATAATGGAAATCTGATCTCTACAAATCCATATAAACCACATTCTTATGCAGATCTGTGTCCAAATATCTTAATTTTTTGCTCACTTATTGTAAAAAAAAAAATGGTATCCTAAAAATTAACTGGTAAAATCTAAATGAACTGGTTGTATTCAAATAAAAAAAAGATATTTAGCATAACTGAATAAACTTAAATACATTCATTTATAGAAACAAAATTTTCATGGGTTAAATTAGGTAAAAAAAAAAAAAATAGCTCTTTGTATAGCTTTAATATATGTGACCCTGCCTGTGAAAACCCAGCTAAAGTCATTTTTTGTGATTTTAGGCCTACTGTTTTCTACATAAAATCATCCTTTATATCTTTAATATTGACTGAGTAAGGCCATGTCAAAGATTGATATCATAGTGAAATTTAATGGTTGAAATCAAACTTTGATGCTTGTTATCTCATAATTGGATTTTGAGACTTTAGCCTGGATTTCACAGACAGGGTCACATATACAGTATAAACTACAGAGAGTCTGTTCTAAAGATTGGATTTGAAAACCAAATCACATCTGTCAGAAATCTAAACCAAATATGAATCCCTTTTTATTTCATCTCTGAGCACGTAAACTCTTATGCTCCCATTTTCACAGACTCTGACTTAAAGATATAACAAGTTAAGTCAACACATCAAATATTTATAATAAAACTGTATTTTTTCTTCATCACAAACCTGAACCCATTGCAAACCTGAAGTTATGTATAAAAAACTGACTTGAACCCACCCAAAATGGTTTGTCCTTTAGCAGACCTCTATCGTGAGCCTCTTTGATTGCTATAAGCAAAAACCTGTTTGCAAGAGTATGTACGTCACAGCACTTCGCTCTGGTAGTAATAACATCATCTATGAGCTAATGTGCGCGAGTTTGCTTGGCAGTGACACGTTTTAATCTGTTTGTTTCCCAGCCGCGCGCAGCAGCCCAGAGGCATTTGCCCTCATCCTCTACAGCTCCTCCAGATTAACACTGACCTCCTTTAATAAGCCTTGGCATCTTTCTCATCCTGGCATCTACTTTCTTTCTTTGTTGATTTTTCCACCTCTTCTTCAATTATGCCTTTTGTTTGGCATTTGCTTTTAGGGCGCTTTCACGCTAAAGCTTTTGGCACGAACCCGAATCCATTTGTTGTCCAGGGTTGTGTAGAATTTAATCACCTCACTGTCGGTTCATAAATTGGAATTGAACTGGCTAGGACCCGACAAGAAGATGAATTGGAGTATGAATCTGAATGGATAGAATGTAGAACTTACTAATTGCAATTCAAAGAATTTAATGACAAGCTTTCCTTTTTCTTGTGGAAAAGTACCTTTATTGGGGTAAATTTCTTCTTTCAATTGATTTTAACTCTTTCCCCGCCAGCATTTTTTATCATTTTTGCTAAAATTTCATGGCCCCCAAAATATTTTGTTGTATGAATATCTAAACATGCACCAAAATAAAGAACAAAGCCTGTTCTTATTCTTATTCTGTTTTATTCTAGCTTCAAACATTTTTTTTTTTATCAACACTTCAGTGTAGGTAAGTTTCATTAAAAAGCAACATTTTGAGCAAAAGGCTGAGAAAATTGCATGTTTTATCAAATACTACATCTGGGTCATATTCAGTACGATGATCAAAGCAAAGATAAGAGCATATATTATTATATAAATTCAAATTTTAATGCAATTCTATTTCCTGCTACCTCAATTCAAATTCAGATTTAATTGTAATTTTTAAAAGCATTCTGATGCAATTCTGAATGGCACACAACCCTGGTGTCTGCTTGAAAAGGTGAATTCGGGTATATCCGCAAATCATATGTACACGATTTGTCCTAAATCATGAAAATGAAAACCAAATAATTTTGCATTTTTGTAAATATTGACCGGTTATTCATATGACAGTGTGTCGTTGGAGATACAAATTATGTATTTTGTCAGTAGTACTTTATACAAATTATTCAAATACACTACCGTTCAAAGTTTTGGGATCAGGAAGTTGTTGTTGTTGTTTTTTTTCTTTATTCAGTAAGGATGCATTAAATTGATCAAGTGACAGTAAAGACTTTTACATTGTTACAAAAATATTCTATTTCAAATAAATGCTGTTCTTCTTAACTTTCTGCGAATACATCAAAGTTTCCAAAAATTAAATAAATTTAGTTTTGCCAACAAAGGAATAAATTACAATTTTAAAATATATTAAAATAGAAAATGGATATTTTAAATTGTAATAATATTTCACAATATTACTGTTTTACAGTAATTTTTATAAATACATACATAAATGCAGTCAATCATGAGAGAATTCTTAAAAAAAAATTCTTACTGAAACGGTAACTTTTAAACGGTAGTGTATATTACCTCCTCTTTTGTTACTTTTAGTATTGTTGATTCATATATAGCTAAGGTCATTAATTGAATTACATTTATTTGATCTCTAAAAATTCTAAAAACATCTGTGTGTCCGTCTTGTAACACCATTGCGCTTCAGGTGTCCTGAGTTTGAGTCCTGGCTCGTGGACCTTTCCCGATCCCGCCCCTCTTCCACTTCACTTCCTGTCCACTTTCTGTCCTATCGAAATAAAGGCATAAAACGGCAAAAAAAAAATCTTCTTCGTCTCTTTTTTTTTTTCAAATATATATTCTATAAAACTACTAAGAGAATCGTTAATGAAACCATTAAGAGGAATTGGAACTAGTAAAAAGTATAAAAGTACAAAGTGACTAGCAGAGGTAGAGGTTGGGGAAAACAATCTTGGGTTCAAAGCAAGCAGTCGAATCATGTGTGATAACAGCTTTAAAGGAACATGCCACTATTTTTGAAAATAGGCTCATTTTCCAACTCCATTGTAACTACAGAAGAGTCAAGTTTTAAATAGGAAAAATAATGAAACTCTTTGGTCATTTTTGAGCGAGATGCTAACGGTCTAATCAGATTCAATGATCTATGCTAAGCTGCAGCTAAAAGTGCTTCCGCCAGACCCGGAGATCAGCTGAATGGATTCGAAAACGGTAAAACTCAACTGTTTAACTCTAGGGGAGTTGGAAAATGAGCCTATTTTCAAAAATAGTGGTGTGTTCCTTTAATATTAGAAACAGTGGACTATGCCTGCTTGCTGTTCTTTGCTCATTCTATTTGCATAACCTAATTTTGGGTGTCGTGCAAGAGCCCGGTGTAGTGAAGTGGTTTGGGAACGTTTTGCCCACAGCTGCATTAGCTTGAGAAAACACAAAGATTACATTCAGTATCGTCAGCAATAGAGAAACGCATCAAGCGTCCTTGATGAGCCCTTAATGTGGCCTTATTTTGCTGAGCTTGAACTAACTTGCCATGTATTGTGTGTGTACGCTTCATTTAAAAACTAATTACCGCAAAAGTGAGTTCATTGTTAAACACCTTCCTAACCCACGGCCAGCGAAATTCCAAGGCAGAAGTTGCCTGGAAGAGCGCAGTTTGCTTACTCAGTTCAGCATATTAATAAACGCAGGGCTGGCCGATGATTGGGCGCTTTACTGAATGCCGGTGTATTTGCAGGTCTTGGAACATTGGGATCCTCACAGCAGTCCCACAGCCAGTCTATCTATCCATGCTCTCCCTCACAGCGCTCCATATCTGCACTGGCCTTCAGGTCCAGAGTTTGACCTGACCAAACCTGACCCCTATGACCTCTATGAGAAGTCCAGGGCTATCTATGAAAATAGGCGTAAGTAACTTCTTGCTAGCACCTAAAGCTAGCATTAATGCCTACTGCTAATCTGTGCTGTTTACCTACTGTATTTTTCCACTCCAAAAATGTGCACATACACACCAAACAACAAACGCATTTCCTGTTGTACATGGCAAAAGATATGTAGCAGTGTGTCCTAATGAGGCACAATGTGCTAAAACAGCTAACAATAAAAGCTACTTTTCTGTGGTGAGTGTTTGTGAGATTTAAATGAGTGACACGAAATTTTGGCAACTACTTGATTTGTAATTCTGTAGCATTATGTTAAGTTGCCCCGCCCACAGTTAAATCTCATTGGTCGAATTTTCCACTCCACATTGTTGTAAAAAATGTAATGGAAGAAATCATAGCGTCAAATATCTGCTTTAGAAATGGAAGTTAAATTGTTTTCAAATAAAGTGTGCCAAATTTATGTTACAAATGTTGTTAGATTTTATTGCTGATATTAATCCTGTCAGAGCTGTAGTTGAATGTCTGTTACCAAAATTAAACAGAGTTCAATATGGCCACTGAGTAAACTGAAATTAAACATCAGATATGTTCATCTACATCTTTCCGTTTGGACCAAAAATGACTTTTACTGGTGTGTTATTGACTTGAGCCTGGTTAGAGCATGGTCTCGAGTGACCATGTCAGCTCTCAGACTCCAAAAAATACTGTTTTGTTGTTGTCTCTTACAATGTTATCCTCCATGCTAAGTGTTCTGAGGTTGTTGTGTCTTGTCAATTTGGAATGTTTCCACAATGAGATCTGTGGAGCTGCTCTGGGGTCTGGAAGAACTTTAGTGGTCTTAGTGACTTTGACGTTATATAACACTTTGCATTATTAATGCAGGTACTTTCTTAACCAGATTTAGAGACTTTACTACACATACAGGCTTTCTGAACTTTTTCAAGGTCCCTCCCTGTGAACCATATTCACTGCCTTTTAAGTAGAAGCGTATGTTTAATTCAGCGAATAGTTTGAAATGCATTAATTCATACAAATGTGAATATACTTATTACTGTACCTAAAATCTACTGCATATTGAACAAAAAAGTCTGAAATGTCAATAGAGTTACTGTTGCATTTCTAAAGGTGCTTTAAACTGATTGACAGCGATTAAACCGATAGATGTCGTTCTGCTGCTAGCAGCCGTTTCTATTCATCTTCTGTCTGCACTCCCATTATTGCTTCACTGTGCATTTGCATAAACTTTTTTCTACTGACCTTTTTCTACTGTTTTAAATCAGCAAGTGTGCTCTTCCTCATTAATGCTTCCTAGTCTATACCTCCTCTTTAATTTTGTATATAGTTTCTCTTTAGTATTCACAGCTGGCAATGACAGGTTGGCAATGGAGATGTTGGTTAGTATTGATGTTGTTTGATGATTATCTTATCTTATGTGCAGTGATCCTCCATAGAATTATAAGAATTATTTTATTATTAGTAGTAGTAGTATTATTATTATTATTATATTGCACAGACACTCTATTGTAGATACCCTGGTGATTTTAGATATGTTTTCCAAACAGTTTAGTTTCTCTTTAAGGTAAGTATGCTTGATGATTGATTACATTTTGTATATTTTTCTGTGATCTTATTTTTTGAGTAAGATGTTTTAAACAGCCTAATTTTGTGAAATTGCACCGCCTTCTAATCTGAAAGTGTCAGGAATGTTTGAGAATGTTCAGTCGCAACACTGTTAATGTTTTATAGCTGTTTGAATATGCACTTGATGTTGCAAAGATGCTGTAAAAATTTGGCATTCTGTCAAGTTGGAGAATAGAAGCTTTTAAAATCTCATTAATACTTATATTCAAGTATTTCAGGAGCTTAGGTTTTAGCAACAAGGACACACATTCTGTTTATGTTAATGCATATTTTATGTGATCTTTTATATGTGTTTGAATGAATCTTTTGCAAATATTTGGTCGCCTGCAATTTAAGACTATTTTTCATTTAGTATCATCATGTAAATGTGTTATTTGTCTAAAATCATTGCTAATTATGAAACTATATGACATGATAAAGTTTTATCAGCACATTTCATCACTGCAAAAAAAGAAAATCAGCACTTCTTTCAACAATATTTGATACTGTAAAAAGGCTAAAAAATAATCTATCAATATTTATGTATTTGCTCTTAAATGGTTTTATATGCTACATTTTCAGTCATAGGAACTATCAGTCATTAAGAGTTAATCTATTTAAAGTGTGTTTTCCATGCTGTTCTTATTGAACGCAAAGAAAATTATTTAATCATTTTATATACAGTCGTTTAACAAACAGCAACATTGAACTACATATGTTGTATTGAAACATTTCAAACCATGCAAAATGTCTCCCAGAGACTTCCGTGAACACAAATAATTTAATTCTGAACTGATTCATTTCAAAAGAGCTCATTTGAATCAAATGAATCAAACTCTAATGCAATTGAGGTTTAAATTAGAGAGCTTAACATCTTAACGCTGTCGTGTCACAAAACCAGCCTACTGCTGCAGCTGAATGAAAAGCATGTAAATCATCACAATATACACAATACTGTATACAATATGTTGGTTAAATATCACGAGCGTAGTGGTTGCAAATATCGCCCAGCTCTAGCAGAGATGCAGATGAGGTTGCAAGAATGATGCAGATGAAGATCAGACTCCCTTTCTGAATCAGAATCAGGCTCAAGCTTGCACCTAGTTTAAATGCAATATATGTACAGCATAATACATGGCCGTGTGTAGGTTGCAGAAATGTGCTGCTCATGCTGATCTCAGTGCTTGTCTGCTCTGAGCCAGGAGATGAACTTGAGTTCTAAGATATTATATAATTAAAAGCCCAAAATCAAGAACTGACTTCATGCATCCACTGAAAAAACAGCAGTTGATTAAAAGTCAATCAGAATTGTGAAAGTATAGTTCACATCATTTTGTTTTCAAATGACGAAGTGTCATGATGAAGTGTGCTTTTAGTGCATTTTTGTGGGCACTGTATATTCACATATATCTTCATTGCTTTGTAGCTGTTGGGCATTATATTAGTGAGACAGGTGATGTATATATTGTAGTATATTTCCAGGTGTGTGTGTTTATATAAGCAGTGATTTATGGGCTGTCCTTGTATCTCTCCCTTTCTTAGAGCCAGGGCTTCCTCGAGCAGCTCTCCCAGCTGACCCTTCCGGTGAGTAAATATATCTACATCTAAAACAGAAACAATCTGACAGAAGGAGTTCTGCATAAAATAAAGTCTGAAAGTTTGAAATTCATTTTTTATATCCAGTTTTTATGACCTTTGTACATTTTTTTAATATATTTGGTATAAAGTTTGGCCTGCTGCAGTTTGACTTCTTTTTCTGCATTTAGTATCATCAAATAAATGTATTTTTATCACCTAAAATCATATGCAATTTAATGAGAGAAAAAAAATATTACATTTACACTGAATTTTAAGGACATTTTTCATCAAAACTAACTCTACCAAAAAAAACTGTTCAATATTTGTTCAAACAATATTTGATATATATTGTAAAAAGGCTGAAAAAACAATATTTAGTATTTATGCATTTACTCTGAAATGGTAATAAAAAAGTCTAAATAAAAAGTACAGTGTCTTTTTGGTATGCCTTACATACCAAAATCATTCATAGGTACATCAAATAAAAGTCCAATAAAATCTCTAAAATCTAAGTAATCTAAGTAAAGTCTGAGAGTCTGACATCCTTTTTTAAATACAGCTATTATAACCTCTGTGAAATACTAGAAATACTAAGAAATACTGGAGATAGAGTAAAAAAACTGTTCAATATTTGTTCAAACAATATTTGATATATATTGTAAAAAGGCTGAAAAAACAATATTTAGTATTTATGCATTTACTCTGAAATGGTAATAAAAAAGTCTAAATAAAAAGTACAGTGTCTTTTTATGCCTTATGCCTTACATACCAAAATCATTCACAGGTACATCAAATAAAAGTCCAATAAAATCTCTAAAATCTAAGTAATCTAAGTAAAGTCTGAGAGTCTGACATCCTTTTTTAAATACAGCTATTATAACCTCTGTGAAATACTAAAGATAGAGAGAAATACTGGAGATAGAGTTTTATTTTTTGCCACTTGTCATTCTCACTGCCTTGAGAGTGAACCTCTCAATGCAGGTTCAAGAACATAAAATGAATGATTTTACAAATTAAGTACTCAATGAACAGAAATGGGGATCTTAAATGTCATCCAGAACACTAAATTACACTTGAAGGATGAGACTAGTCTGGAGAAAAGACTAAGTTGTGAGATAAATGTGTACTTTCATTGACAGCATCAGAGTTCCAGGAGGTGGAGGTGCACTTGCGCAGACAGAAGTCCGGTTTCGGCTTCAGGATCCTGGGCGGAGAGGAACCAGGACAGCCTGTGAGTCTGGAGGCTCAGGAGAAGGCTCGTACTCTAGGACTAACCACACGCTTCCTAAACCAGAGCTCACTGCCATTTGCTAACATGATAACGCGTCTGTTCATCCACTTTAGTTTCTGTATGTAGCTTAAAGAGAATCTGTAGTAACAGTGCTATGCATGTACAGATCCTGATTGGTGCAATCATCGAGAAGAGCCCAGCAGATAAAGACGGGCGTCTCCGGCCAGGAGATGAGCTGATGTCAGTCGATGGGATCCCTGTGGCTGGAAAACCCCACCGTTACGTCATTGACCTCATGCATGGGGCGGCCCGGACTGGACAGGTTAAACTCACTGTACGAAGGAGAATTCAGACCACAGGTGAGAAATGGCTGATGTTTATTTCATTTGTCTACCAACAATAGCTGTTTCCATCCACCTATTTTTATGCGCATTTTGGAATATCGCATAAAAAAACACTGGTTGGAAATGCCAAGATGCGCATAAATTCTAAAAATGCACATAAAAATCTTATGCGCACTATTGAGTAGGATAAACTTTTTGTCCAATAAGAAAAAATGCGCACTAAACTACGATGGAGACACTTTTACCGAATAAATTCAACCATGTGCATTAAAAAAGTCCCAGTGTGACCAATCTCATTGCACAGCATCTGAAATGTTGTTATGGTCGTTCTGAAAAGTATTTCTGTATAATTGTATAATTCCCAAACAGCAGCGTCCAGCTCCGAAAGATGACAGCATTTATTGTGTTTCGTCTGCTCACTCTGAGGCAAAACTAATTTATTATATATGACAATTATTATATTAAGTGGCTTCTCCTACTTTTCTTGGTGATACTTAATGCCAGTTTATCAGGAAGTGATGATTTTGTTCTTTTTGACTCGTTGGATGGAACAGTACTTTATTCGCAAATGTTTTATGCGATATTCCAGTTTTACGCATTAGTTAAATTTGAATCTTTGGATGGAAACATAGCTATTGTCCAACAGTGAACATAAATTTTTTAATATATTGTGTTTAATAGCAATTTGTGGTGGAAATGATATTTTTAACATTTTGGGTTGAAAGTGGCCACCTTCTTTGTCTTGTTAAGGCTAATTTTATTGCTACATTATATGTATCCTAAAAACACACGGTTAAACAAATACTTGAATATAAACAAGTTTCTGCATAATATTACAAATATTACAGCTTGACTGGAAATGACACGCAATCATAATATTAAAAGTCGGGGGAAAAAAGCTTTTACACCACGCAAGCAAGATAGCAAAACACATTTGACTATTTATTTGTTAAATCTAAACAAATATGTGACATTTGTTAACTTTATTAGGGTCACAGTTGTTTGTTGTGGTTGAAATGACACCGACTGAAGAACATGAAGCAGAAGTAATGAAGCAGGTTCTGTTCTACTGTACCTCTGCTGCTTATCATGTGTCCTCTCTCTCTCTCGTCCACTCTGTCTAATAACTCTTGGTGTAGCTGAGGCTCAGATTTTGTGCCCTCTCAAGCTCTACCTCCCTCATCCTTCCCGCTGTCTGACTCATCCTCTCAGTCTTATCTTCCCTGGACAATCGTTTCTCCCCCTTTGCATCTCAGTGGAGCGGTTGAGGAAATGTCTGGCTGCTGGCTTTTTTGGCTTACTGTTTGATCACAGAAGGACTTCAGATCAGCTTTAGCCAAACCCTATACTATAGACTCTTCCTTTCTTTCTTACTCACACACACACTTGTATTATTCGTAGTTGATACCTGAAAAGATGATAGAATTGTGAATGGTTATATACTATGTAAAAGTATTGTAACATTCAAAACCTCTTTTCCAATCCAAAAATATGTTTTAATGCTCTTGTTTTGACTGGAGACACATGAACTCCTGAAATATACAGTTTAATGGTCATAATACAGAAATATTTGACTGTGCAATGATTAACCAATTAGAATCAAGTATATATAACCATGTTCCTTTTATTTCAGAGTCATTTTCTTTCTCGCCCTGTTATCTTCAGGTGAACCCTGTCCAGAGAACGGCCGCAGCCGAAGTATATATAACCATGTTCCTTTTATTTCAGTCATTTTCTTTCTCGCCCTGTTATCTTCAGGTGAACCCTGTCCAGAGAACGGCCGCAGCCCTGGATCGACCCAGCACAGTTCCCCCAGGAGTGACTTCAACTCCAGAATGTTCTGTAACAACTCCGCCCCCTCTCAAAACTCCGCCCCATCTACCACAGGCTCCTCCCCACCAGACACTGTAGCCAATCAGAATCTGCAGCCTAGTGATGTCACCATCCAGCGCAAGGAGAGCGAAGGGTTCGGATTCGTTATTATCAGTTCTCTGAACAGGCCTGAAACCGCGGCTGCTGCTGGTAAGGAATAATTATTTTTGTACACTTCACATGCTTCAACTTATTTTCAATCTGGGACGTTCCTTTACTGTAATAGCTCACTCAGGTTGGCTGCTCAAAAGGGTCATAGTGACTTGTGCAGCATGTCCTCATAAACTGGTGTATTAATAATGGATGCACTTCTATTTGAGGGCTGAAGAGGCTAGTTACAATGTTCTAATGCAGCGCCCACGCTCGTATATAAAAACAGATCCACTAACTGGAAAGGACAGAGTGCAAATAGAGAGCTCTCTCGATGTATTACGTAAAAACTATTTGTGTGTGTGTGTTGTCAGCCGTGCCTCATAAGATCGGCCGGATCATTGAGGGAAGTCCAGCAGACCACTGTGGGAAGCTCAAGGTTGGAGATCGCATATTGGCCGTCAACAATCAGTCTATCGTCAACATGCCACATGCCGACATCGTCAAACTGATCAAGGACGCGGGACTCAGCGTCACACTCAGGATCATCCCTCAGGAGGGTGAGTTGATGCCTGTGGAACTGTTTGAAAGGGATTCTTACGGAAAAATTTATTCTACACTAATTCTGCTACTGAATTCTGGCTATGTGTAATAGCCATTTTGATGTTAAAATACTTTCTTTTATCTCAGTTTAATGTGCAGAGACAACTATAAGTAAGCCATTTATTGGTTGACTTCCTGAACATTGCTCTGACATGTCAAATGGCTCAACAAATAGTGTGAGTTTGGGCGGGACTACCTGTTTTTCTGGGCAATGGAAGAGGTTGGGGCAGTGTCCTTTAAGGAGCACTGTAGCTTTAAGGAGCCCCTGACTTTTTTTGAAAAAATTCTCAGTTATTTCAAACAAGCTATCCTTGTACAGTTGCTTTCGAACATAATTTAAGTATTTTTAGAATTTGAAATGCTATAACTGGTTTTTCTGAATGGTAGTTTGTGATAAAACTAGAAATTGTGCCTGAAATGTCAGTGCTAAAATAATTAAATACAAATGTTTAAAAAAATACAATTTAAAATCACAAGAAAGTCATACAGGTTTGTAATGAAATGAAGGTGAATAAATGATAACAGAATTTTCATTTTTGAGTGAACTATCCTTTTGAAATGCAAATTTACTAAATGGTTGCACTACTTGTTTAAGATACAGTATTTCAGCACAAGCCACCAGAAATCAAAATGAAAATTCTGTCATTAATTACTCACCCTCGTGTCGTTCCAAACCCGTGAGATCTTCATTCGTCATCAGAACACAAATTAAGATATTTTTGATAGAATCTGAGAGCTCTCTGACTCGCCCATAAACAGAAACGCAACTGTAATTTCTCTGAACCAGCCTCCAAAATGGAAACTTGTGCCATGCAAATTGCATTCAAAGATTTTGGGCATGTTTGCGATGTTATTTTATTTGCATAATTATTTCAGTGCATTTAGTAGTAAAATAACAGACAATACAAGCAAACTGTACTCATGCAACACTTAAACTGTTGCTTTAGTAGTAAAAATACCTGTGTTTCAAAGAAAAGCTCTGAAAATATCTTAGCTTTTTGTCTTTTCTCCATTTTTCAGAGACGAACAGCACGCCTTCTGCAGGCAGCTCAGAGAAGCAGAGCCCTATGGCCCAGCCCAGTCCAGTTTGCCAACCCAGCACTGTGAACCAGACCGGTGCTGCACCTCCACCTAACTCCACCCCTCAACCCAACTCTGCACCTCAACCCAGCTCCATAACGCAGCCTACTTTAGAAGCACAACCGCTCCGCAGTGCCAGTACAGATCTACAGCCATGATAGCAGGCAAGGCACCAACAAAATTACATTATTACTTAAATATATTTTAAGTTGTTGTACTAGTTTTACCATTGCTCTGTGAAATTTCACCGGGCGAAATCAAGTATGTTATGAATGATATTAATAAATTAAAAAATTGTACACAAAAAAATGTCAAATATCATTTTAAATGCTAATGGATTTAGACATCACAACATTATTATGTACTGTATGAAGGATATGAATTATATATATTTTGCTGAAGATAAATAAATAATAAGAATAAATATGGAGCTGAAATATTGTACATCCCTAATCATTTGAATGGATGAATTCAAATCAAACTTGTTTTGTAATCAAGTTAAAACTCTACAAAAGTTCACTATTTATGGAGTGAATCTGAACCTCTCTGACTCACAGACTCTCTCTCACTATTAGGTTGTTGCGTAAAATCACTTGTCTCTTACAGAACTGAATAATTTACCTACATGGCTCTTTAAAACCAGTTTTAATCATTTATATACCCTGCAGAGACCAATGATTTCACTTCCTCTCCATGCTCACTCAAGTTTCAATATACACCCAAGAGCTCCTCAAGCTTTGCCATTTTCAACAGAACATTATCCTGCATTAAACTTTAAAATTCATTAGAGCGGTAGCTCCGTCAGTGGTAAGTCTGTTTTGACGGCATCCGCTGGAAAACAGACGTAAACAGAGTAAATATTATGAGAGAATCTCCTCATTCTTATATATATATATATATATATATATATATTACAGCTTTTGCTGCTGATAAAAGCTACTATTTTAAAAGAGCCCTATGGCCCAGCCCAGTCCAGTTTGCCAACCCAGCACTGTGAACCAGACCGGTGCTGCACCTCCACCTAACTCCACCCCTCAACCCAACTCTGCACCTCAACCCAGCTCCATAACGCAGCCTACTTTAGAAGCACAACCGAGCCCTGTCACTCAAACCAGCCCAGCCAATCAGCTCAGCTCAGTGACCCAACAGAACCCACCCACCCAGCCTTTGCTGCTGATAAAAGCTACTATTTTAAATTGCCACATTTTTGCAGACAAGTTTGACAAGAAATTGCCATAAAAACACCATAGACGTAGTCCAAGTCTCACTTCCTGTTGCGTATATTCCAAATGTTTGCATAAGAGTCAGCATCACCAAATGCCATTGGTTCTGCTCTGATTGGTTGTTCAGCTACAGGTCAGAGGTAAAAGCAAGACAGGATGTAAAACCCGATATTCGACAGCCGTTCACTGATTACCGCCAACCCCCAGTGGACTACCGACACCCTCCTGTAGCAGATTACCGACAGCCACCAACGCTCGATTACAGACACCCCCCACTGCTGGACTACAGGCAGCTGTCCACTGACCCTCGCACCTTCCCCTTACCGGACTACAGGATGCCACAGGTAGCTCTGCTGCCACTCTGTATTCACTCAAACACTGGAGTAGAAATGCACACTGATATCGTAATTCATCACTGAAATGGCTATGTGGCACTGACAGTGCATTTCCATAAAGTATGTATTATGCATGTCCATAAAATGTCCATAATATGTTTACGTGTGCTTGCAGGATTTTGATTTCTTCACGGTTGAGCTGGAAAAGGGTATGAAAGGTTTTGGCTTTAGTATCCGTGGAGGCCGCGAGTATAAGATGGATCTGTTCGTTCTGCGATTGGCTGAAGACGGACCAGCAATACGCAATGGAAGAATGAGGGTGAGCTCTATCTATCTATCTATCTGTCTATCTATGTCTGTCTGTCTCCATCCAACTATCTATCTATCTATCTATCTATCCATCCATCCATCCATCATCTGTCTGTCTTTCTGTCTGCCTGTCCTTCCATCCATCCATCCATCCATCTTTTCATTCATCCATCCATCATCTGTCTGTCTATCTCTATGTCTGTTGGTCTGTCCGTTCGTCGATCTATCCATCCATCCATTCATCCATCATCTGTCTGTCCGTCGATCTATCCATCCATCCATCATCTGTCTTTCTGTCTGTCTGCCTGTCCTTCTGTCCATCCATCCATCCATCCGTCCATCTGTCAGTCCTTCTTTTTATTCATCCATCCATCATCTGTCTGTCTATCTCTATGTCTGTTGGTCTGTCCGTTCGTCGATCTATCTATCCATCCATCCATTCATTCATCATCTGTCTGTCCGTCGATATATCCATCCATCCATCATCTGTCTTTCTGTCTGTCTGCCTGTCCTTCCGTCCATCCATCCATCCATCCGTCCATCTGTCAGTCCTTCTTTTCATTCATCCATCCATCATCTGTCTGTCTATCTCTATGTCTGTTGGTCTGTCCGTTCGTCGATCTATCTATCCATCCATCCATTCATTCATCATCTGTCTGTCCGTCGATATATCCATCCATCCATCATCTGTCTTTCTGTCTGTCTGCCTGTCCTTCCGTCCATCCATCCATCCATCCATCCATTCATCGGTCCATCTGTCAATCCTTCTTTTCATTCATCCATCCATCATCTGTCTGTCTATCTCTATGTCTGTCAGTCTGTCCGTTCGTCGATCTATCCATCCATCCATCCATCATCTGTCTGTATGCCTGTCCTTCTGTACATTCATCCATCCATCTACATCTGTCTGTCTTTCTGCCTGTCCATCCATCCATCCACCCATCTCTCCATCCATCATCTGTCTGTCTGCCTGTCCTTCCGCACATTCATCCATCCATCTACATCTGTCTGTCTTTCTCTCTGTCTTGCTCTCTGTCTTTCTTTCTGCCTGTCCTTCCGTCCGTCTGTCCATCCATTCATTCATCCATCCATCCATACATCATCTGTCTTTCTTTCTGTCTGCCTGTCCTTTTGTTCGTCCATCCATCCATCCATCCATCCATCATCTGTATGTCTCTCTCTGTCTATTGGTATGTCCGTCCATCCATCCATCCATCCATCATCTGTCTTTCTGTATGTCTATCTATCTATCCATTCGCCCATCTATCCTGTTCTGCTGCTGTTCTGTTGCTTGTTCAGCTCATATCCGTAATGAAGCTGTCATAGCTAATGTGAATAAAACAATCCCCTTAGAATATTCTACCTCTCATTACAGCCTTTCATATTTAGTCCATTACCTGCAGATCACACACAGTGACCGTTCCCTTCCATTCAAGAGCCTCAGTTCTGACAGTAAACATCATCCTGTCTTCTTTTGGGGCGTGAATATATCCACAGCACAAAATGCCTTTTGAATCTATAATTAGTTTGTGGTGGAACAGACCCATGGTACTTAAAAAGTCCATTAAGCATGAAGTCATACAACCCCCAGCAGACACTGCTGCTGCTGCTGCTGTAGATTTCCACACATGCCCTCTAGATACACCAAAAACACGCGGGAGCTGCTGACGCTGCTAGCTGCGATGCTTTTACTAACACTCTCCACCCCAGAGGTCACAGGAACCGGCCCCAGACATAGTGTAGGAACAAAAAACGAGACACTCCTTGTCAGTAATGAGAGAGTTGAGGGTCATACTGCTCTCTGCCCCTCATTCAAACAAGATCTTAATGAGTCATAAAAAACTTGCCGCCCATCACTGGCAGCGACCTGCCCGGACTTCCACATTATCCAGACCATTTGAGAGGAATTCTCCATTTGTTACTATAATTGGCTCGTTCTTTTTCCCCAGCCCCTGGCCAATTAGTCCACAGACACAAGACAAGTTCAATGCACCTACATGCTCAGCATCAGTATACGCTTCTCCTGTTTTAGTGGCGCCAATATTTTCATAATTATACAACCTTTGTCTATATTATTTGTTTGTGTGTTAAGGGAGAAAATGATAGTATTTATTAAGGATGTGAAAACTGCTTTTCCTATTTTTTTACAGCCATATTTTCCTCTGATAACCAAGATGCATAATTAATGCTCAGTATTTTTTTTATTATATGTTTATAATTAGTATTTTTTTAAGTTATGTTTTCTTTCACAATGGCAAACTATTATTAGGCTACTGCTATAAAAACATATTATGCATTGTTATATAAAATTAAGAAGGATCACAACAGAAAGTAATAACTTTATTTTCAATCATTTTTAACATAACACTTTAAAAATTTTGTCAGAGCAAGACACTGAAAAAGTGGTGAGATAAATCCATCTGCATGGGAACATAGAAAAACAACAACAAAAATGTGTTTGTTCGACAGGGTAACTGAGAGATATTTAACAAATAAACAGGCAAAAAAAAAATCTATAGCCTTTTTATTACACAAAACTATCTTAGCCCACACACAAATGAGACCTACGGATTATGCATAATAACAGGAATATTGCTCACAGCAAATGATCTGACAGTAATTTTCTTGAAATGTATTGTTAAAGGCGGTGGATGCGCTACACAAGTGGCACTTTGATGGCTGTGCTTTAATGAAGATGAATTTAGAGACACAACTGCTGCTAGAAATATTAAGATAAAACAAATGATGAAAAAAAAAATAAGTTGGTGGGCAACTAATTGTAGTAATATTGATCATACCGGCTTCCTTTGTATCAAAGAAGGGCAATTAACCAGTCCCTCATTATCCTCAATAGTCGTACACCTTCCTCACAGTTGATGAAGAGCATCGGTATTGTAGCTCATAGGAACCTTGTACCCATGATTCATTCATCCAGCTATGTTAATTCTGAAATTAATTAGTACTCGATCTCATTCATGACTGCTAATGCTGATTAGCGCTTAACCGAAACAGCCGACATGAGTTATGGACCTATATTGATCCTACTGAATAATTATCCTTAATAAATGATAGTCATATTAGTTTTATCATTAAAACCAGAGAGGGAGCGATTCAAAGCTGTCAGAAAATAATTACTGCTGTTCTGTCACATCTGTCTTCGCAATCTTAGGTATCTGAATGCTAGATAAACATTCTGGAGAGTAGGCTGTTTGCTCAGAATGGATTTTCCATCAAAAACACTTTTTCAAATCGTATTTTGTCCGTTTTTCAGGTTGGTGATCAGATCATTGAAATAAATGGGGAGAGCACGAGGGATATGACCCACGCTCGGGCCATTGAGCTCATCAAATCGGGTGGCTGTAGAGTTCGCCTGCTGCTCAAGAGAGGCACAGGCCAGGTCCCTGAATATGGTAGGTCTACACAGGCTGTCTGAACACGTACCTTACTGCTCACAAATGTCTACAGTATTAGCTCACTTGGTTCACAGGGTCTCAAGAGGTGGAATAACCTACAGTTTGTCTCATTACAAGACAGATCTTTGGAGGAGGTGATGTTTTATTGGGTAATGTATAAAGAAATGTATAATAGAGCAGATTGGCAGGAGATCACAGCATACATTTAGAAATATGTTGTGAAATAACTTATTCACACCAGGAGGACAATATGTGTAGTTGACAGGTTTTATTTGATATTAATATTCTGCTCTCAATGGGAATTTCTAGTAGATCATTTTAGAAAAAGGTCACCACCAGTTACAGTTTTTCTCAATTGCTGTAGCTCATTTTTTGAAACAGTCTTAAAAGGGTCGTGAACTGCCTTTGTTTTTTATTTTGTACTGTTATCTGAGGTCCACTAATAATGTTATCAAGATTTTTGCATCAAAAAACATAATTTCGAAGTAAAAAGCTATTTTCTGTCCTGTTAACCCCCCTCATCAGAACACTCTGTTTGAATAGACATGGCGGATTGTCGACTCGGAAGTAAACACCCACTGCTATGATTGGCGTAGTTGCGTATGTTTGACAGCGTACATTCCTCATAGATAAACGCAGCTGTGATTTAGGTCAAAAACGCATAAATAAGTCAATACATATCAGACGATCTGTAAGAAGAGACAAAGCAATAGTGATCACATAATAAAAACAGTTACTCACACGTGTGTGTTGCGACATTACTGTCAGATCCAATATAGTCAACACAGCATCGTCTTTTAGATTCAATCTTTTTGAAAATCCTGCATCGAATTGTGCCTTGTTTGTAAACGAATCCGTGGTAAAATGAAATGAACAAAGGACCAAGTTCTTACTGACGCGGTCTGGATCTTCATTTAAAAATAAAGTTCATTCACTCTTTCCTAACATTAGGATCAGAAGGAAGGCAACGCAAACACTGTTTTTCCACAACTTGGCACTGCACAGCGTCTTGTTGTCTTCACAGCCATCTTTATTGTTTGGTTTCTGCGTAGACCTGTGTGTTCGCCTCTCTAGTAAACACTACATGCACGAATCGGTGGGTGGGGCTAAACAGGCAGTGATGTAAAAGCAGACGTTGATCTTCTTCTGCAGAGGTTGTGCTTATCCACACTATTACATCATAGAGTAGAACATTCCACAAGCTGTCATTTTGGCAGACTGGCTTCAATATAAACTGTTTTTAGACTAACGACAAAGTTTTAAGTTCTGAACTGTACAGGATGTGTTTTTAGTACAATGACCTCTTATATGTCAAAAAATCAAGGGAATTTTGGTTTCTCAGTTCATGACCCCTTTAAAATTCTCTAAACTGTAAGTACAACTATCACGAATGTTTGGTTTATGGGAAATCACAACACAAAATGTAGTAACTCAACCAAAAATTTTATTCATGCTTCACAACCTAGTTATTGTGTCATTAAATTGGCTAATGGCACCGAAATGAAAGATTGATCAACCCTTGGAAAGGTTTTTTTTTTTTGGACACAGACTGCTTATACTATACAAAAATATAATTTAGTGTGTCATATTGAGCTTTTTAGATACAGATTTCAAGAGTAAGTAAAATAAAGATTATGCTCAAACTTCTGTATTCTGCTAAACAGGTTGCGTCTGTCAGACTTTGTTCCGTGTTTTGTGTGTGTTTTGCTCCCCATGTGCCCTCCTTGCCCATATTTGGTTGTCTCCCTCCGTTCCTTGCTCCGCCACAGTAGGCAGTCGTGACTGAATACCGGACCTAAAAACATGACTGCAGTGGAGGACGCGCTGTGGGGTTTGCGGCAGGGCGGTCTGAGGTTGGAGCGATATGTGGAGGGTTTTCTCGAGCTCTCTAACCGGGTGAGCTGGCACGACGCCGCTCTAGGTGCGTGCTTCCTGCTGGGGTTGGATGACGAGATAATCCGCTGCGATCTTCCGACGTTTGATTTTTACCCTGATCGAGCTGATTAATCTTGTGCTGTTCTTAAATGGTTCTGATTTCGAAGTTGAAGTAAAGAAATTTCCCAAGCCTTGTCATCCAACTCCTGCTGGAACGCGCCGC